AAGGAAGTGCTGACAAAAATACAATAAACTATTTTTAAAAAATGGACTGAAATAGACTAATCTATATCCGATTATGCAACAAGTGAATTTTATAGTACGCTAATAAACTCCAACACGATATATTTCTTATCGGAGTAATGAAGCACGTAATAAATGAATAAATGCATGAGAGAGAGATGTACATATACGTGTTAATAGTGCAGTAATTCAACCAAATTCTACAGTATTATCATCTTCTCATGTGTTATTATTTAAAAAACAACATTAGCTAAATTCTTTTTTTCAACAACCATTTTATATAATTTTTCTTGACTCTATAATTATTAATAAATCCGTTTTTAGAATATACTTTAGTTAATAAGCAGTTAATGAGTATTCTGATTATATATATATGCTTGTTTACTATATTTAAACACCAGGGGAATGAGAGAAGTGGCCGACTGGTTTGTGCCACGTCGTTATTGTATACTTTCTTAATAGTAGTAAAACTGTTGTCAGTCATCTGTTTGTAATTAGGGTGGAATATTGACTTATATAATTGAATTTAGAGTGCAGCGTTAGGACAAGGAAAATAAAGTAAGTATATGATAATGCACATAATTTTATATTAATAACCCTGGGTGAAGACAGCAAAGTTAATACTACTTGGTATGTTTTATGAAAGTTCACTAGTTACGCTAGGCTAAGTTTGTTCAAGAAGTCAAGTAGCCGGTTGTATCAGTGTATGCTTATTGATAACGATTCCTAGGTCCTAATAGTGTACTATAGTACTAATTATGCTGCTGTTTGTACATTCATATAGAACAAGCTAGACTAATGTTTTGGTATAGTTAAAAACGATAATTCAGATAAAGCAAAGCGCACGATATGTATTATTGTATGCGTGTTTCTTTTCATTTTTCGTTGTGGCTTAAACTTGAGTATTACTTCTAGTGGTACAGCTTAACAGTTATTAACACTGTTAATCCCCGTTTTTACAAAATCACTCGCACTAGTCTTAAATTAGTCTTATACTGATAGCTATAATTAAATTAATTAACACTAGGAAGTGCTGATAAAATGTATTTAAAAATGAAAAAAAAGACAAAAGATGCCCATAATTTAAACACTACCATTGAATAAAGTGTTAGAATTTTATTTAGGTTAAACAAAAATTTGTGCCATATGGTTCTGTGAATGTCTCATTCTCAGTGTCTTGTAAGTTTAGGGTAAGTAAAATAGCTAGGGTTTTCTTTTTATGATAATGTTGTTTACTTTCATATTGGTGTGATGACTGTGTGCAAGTACTATTTTAAACATTTGTGTGTTAGTAGTGTACTATTGTGACCTACCTGACTTATGCAACAAGCCACATTCAGAATTGTAGCTGCATGAAAATGTTAGAAAAGGCTGAATAAAGTGTTTTTATTGTGATGCAAAGACAGAGTTAGACACGCTGGTTGCAACATAAATTTAATATTTATTTTAAACTTGGTACAAGCATAAAAGTACCCATTTGCTGCTGGCACAATGTATATGACACATATTGAACAATAGATTATTATTCTGGTTAGACCTCATTTGGAATATTGTATTTTGTTTTAGGCACCTTATTTAAGAATGTTGAGTTTGATAGGGTTTAGAGAAAAGTTACTTAAGTGATTAAATAATTAGAGGAGTTATAGGGCAGTTGGCCTTTTGAATGTGTTGTCACTAGATGTGAATGCAATAAATTGAAGGGAAGGCTTGATAAATATTTAAATGATAATGGCTGGCTTTAATTTTTTAACCCATTCACTGTGGCTGGGAAGTATATTTCCCCGTTGCTTCCACCCCCCTCAAACTGCTACTAGGACAAATGTTTCCCATTGTCAACACTGTTTATGTCTTCCTCTGATGGGTCCAGGTTTGTCATCTTGACTATCATCACCAGATGGAGAACTGGCATCCTCTTGTCTCATTGCTTCTTCATCATCATGCATTTGAACACTTTCATTATCTGGTAAGCTATCTGAGTCAAATGAATCAGGCATATTTACATAGTAATTAGGGTTATTACTTGCTGCTTTAGTGATGAAAGCAAGGTCGGCATACAGTTTTTGTACATTCCACTTGGGCATCTTGTTGGTTACTGAAGAGCTGAGTGGAAAACATTGAGGGAAATCATATATCAAGGTTGGATGCCAGTAAATACTTTCCAACTCATTTTACTCCCATTAACCATGCACTGCAATTATGAATGACAATGGAAAACATTTGTCTCAGTCACATTGTAAGGAGTGGGAGCACTGGGAAATATATGTCCTAGCTGCATTGAAAGGTTTAACATTTAATTTAGTATATGGGGTGGTCTAGATGGACAGTCAGGTTCCTTGGTATTGTTGGCAGATACTCTTTCAATTATTCTTATATGCAGGGTTGCAAGAGCGTGCCAACCTGTCACTTCATATGTATGGGGGAGCTCCCCTCCAATACTTCGAATGTTGATCAGTGGAGTCGTAATCTTGTCTCTGATATTTCTTATTAGCTGAAAGCTCTATGACCATGCATATGCTACTGCTTTAACTCAAGCAGTGGTTCTCTGAACTTCCAGTTAATTAGCAAACACATTAGCCATATTAAATAACTAATTTTAAAATTAGCTTTTCTGTTGGTCAGGGTATTGGAAATTGTGGTTACTTCTTCCTTCTAAATTTAACTCTACTGCCCATCTGGTGTATAATTTTAAAGGAGTTACTTCATGGAATTACATATGCAAAAAAACAAAACAAAAAAAGGCCAAGATGATAGAAAGCCAAGATTTATGGTTGTAACAGAACAATAACAGTGTGAATCATCTGAAATGAGTCTTCCTCCTGATTGTTCTGTGCTTTGTAGATATTTGGACTTGCTTCGTAGGTTAAATGACTTAAATTAGGCATTATTCTTTAGTTTGTAGCACTTTTTACAAGTTGATACTCTTTCGGTAGTAAATGGAGAAACTTCTTACAGTTCTGAAAATGAGATTTCATTACAGTCATGTATAAAGTTCGATAACCTTTTGGTTATTAAATTAAAAATTCTTTTAAATAGAACCAAGAAATCTATTTGCTATTTTCATCACAACTGAACAATCATCAGAGTTCTCTAGGGTTTCATTAAAATTGCACCTAAACTCTTTTATCTTTTTTTTTTAAACAGTGATACTTTTCACACAAAAGTATTTCAAACTTCCACACCTTAGATACACAGTTTTACATTCCTTCTGTATTTTGATTCATTCATGAATATCTTCAAGGTGTTTTTTGGGTAAGAGAAGGTTGCCCGGCAGAATCAGTTCTTTTCAGTATTTTAGTACCATCAACAAAAACTAGAAAATCACTGCTTAAGAAGTTGTTTAAGTCATTAATGTAAGTAATGAATGACAAAGCTCCAAAAATGCTTCTAAGGAACCTCATTAGCCACAGTTTTCCTGATGAGATATACTAATTCATTACTGCTGTGTTTCCAACCACTAAGCCATTTTTTTTATCCACTTTTCCACCCATTCTGTGTTTAATCTCATGGGGTATCACATCAGAGGTTTTCTGAATGTCAAGATATGTAAGAATAATAAAATCAGAAATTCTGTCAAACAACAATTTGGTAAGGATATCAAAAAAGAAGTTTGTAAGGGAAGAGAATCTTTTTCTAAAACTGCTGAGAATCACTATTTAAATAGCAGCATAAAAAATACCTAAAAGTTTCTGATGATCAACTCCATCACTAACTTTTCTTTGGAAAAATATAATCATTTATCAATTTTCCATTGAGGAATTTTTCTGGTGCAAATATTTTGCACACACACACACACACACACACACACACAAGGATTCTAATCCAAGAGTTTGCACACTAAAACCATAATCAAAGAGTAGCTGGAAATCATGTTTTTAAA